TGAATGTATTATCTTTTCTTTTTCACGCCATTTCTCATCCCAGGACTGAGGCATCGACCTTTGAGTAAATGTCCCCACTCAAAACACAAGTGCAACCTCTTCAAAATCAGCCTTCATGAAGTGCAATCCACCCTAGGTAGCTTGATAGTCCAGGAACAGCCTCAATTTCTGTGAAAGGAGCTCACGAGTTCCATACAGCGGTTTACTACTGATTATCCAATCCTTCTCAAGCAGCCCTGCCTTGGCACCATGCGACATCTCATCGTAGAAAGCAGAGACAATACAGTAGATGGAAGTCCTCAGGATATCAGCCATCGAATACGCTTTTGCATAAAAAGGGGCTCCTTTTCTTTTTCCTGCAACACCTGCAGCTGAATCTCTCCTTCCTGAGTTTAATGTAGCCCACTTAATACCAGCAGGATCCATTACAGAATTCGATGACGGTAAGTTGGTTTTCTTGCCCATTAGAGTTTCAACAACCAATAAACTGGACAACAAAGTTGAGAGAACAGCAGCATTGCTCCCAGAAAGTTGAGCAACGCCAAACCTATCCTCCTTGTGTGAATGCACAGTCAGTGATGCGACAATTCGAGCACACCATGCTAGTAGCTGCATGCATCAGTAATAACAGACCATTTCAGGATATGTGAAATGACAGTAAAACTGAAGAAATTTAATTCATAAATTATTAACAAACGACCAGAGAGAAAAAAGCAGAACAATATCTAATACTAACATTCATTCATATGGAAATTAGTGATTTACCTGAAAGTCATCAAATGATTCATAAATCTTTGAATCAGCAAGCTGTTCATTTGGCGAACGCAACTGATGAGACAGTTGCAAGGAGTTATCAACTGGAGAGCTCTCCAAAACTTCACTTATGTTTCTCGTGAACTGTTCAACAGGGGTCAAGCATACAGAAATGACTCTTTTGTATGTCTCACCACTTTCCTCAAAGAAGGCAGCTCGGCGCCAAGGGTCAACATTACTCTCGCATACCATGCAAAGATCAAGGTATGCAAGATACTGCAGAAGAGATTTTGGTGTGCTCTCCTCCAATGCGGCAAGAAGCGGTTCACTTGGATTTGTCTCAGCAGCTGCAGAACCTTTTGGAGGGGCAAAGACAGACCGCTTTGTGTGCAATACCTAAATAGTCAAATCAACATCACTTTTGCTTGTTATGCTATTTTCAAATGCTACTTGAGAAAATAACCAGCTTGAACATACACAGCTACTTGTGTCTGTGTCTGTGTGTCTGTGTGTGTGTGTGTGTGAGAGAGAGAGAGAGACTGACTTGGTGTAAATGATGAGATAATTCCCAGCAGAGAATCACCACAAAACTTCCGATGTAAAAGATAATCTGCTCAGTAATAAAGTTTCCTACAGAAAGTTGACCCTTAAACTCGTAAGGTAGAAAAACCACAAGGAGAGCTGAAAAGACATAACCAGCAGCTGAAAGCTTTAGAGCTTTTCCAACAGCTAAAGGTAGCCCCATCTTAAAGCTGAAAAAGGGAGGACGCTGTTGACATGGAATTCTTGTTAGTATCTCGGATTATAGAAAAAGATACAACTATTCACCACATCAAACTGCAATTTACATGATGGGACGTGCATATTTAATCAGAGAATCTTGTTCTTGCAGAAAGAGAAAGCAACCAAAGAGAAATCAAATTATTAGAATCATAGCAATGAGAGAAATCACAAATGGAGTTGAAAACTCTCAATTAACTGTTCCAGACCTCCAGTACGCATGGACGATTGGGTGCTTTCATGCAAAATCAGATTTTCATATACAAGGTATTTCCCGTATACATCAATAAAATTACCTTATCAAAAAAATCCTCAACTGGATTCCCCACACTTTCCACATACACACACGCGCTGACGCGCGCACACATACAAAAGAAGTAAGCATCTCCTTGTCAGTAAGAAATGGCATTGTCATACTAGCTTAAGGCCTCAACAAATACTGCTTATGAAACAACATTATTTTTTTACCTATAAAGATTTAAATCAAGTGAAGAAAAAACAATTAAATTACAATGAATACCACAATAATGGAAGTCCTGGCATTAAGTGACAAATAATTTAGTTCCATTCCATCACTTCCGCATGAAACAATAGAAAATAGCTCTCTTTAACTTCTAAACATGAAGCACGAGCAAGGTTTAGAAATAGTGAAAAAGGAAGTGCTTCAAATCATTGATATCTGTCTCGGACTTGTTCTAAAAAGGTCGAGGTATACTATCACCTTAGAGTTATAAGAGTGTGCTTCTCCAGTGGATCATGCGCCTATTCACAGGATGAGTCTATACACGAAGTATGCCATAGCAAAGACCAAAATAATATGCCAATATAAATCATTTGTGATATGAACCATTGTTATTACTTATGCTACCAGAATAATAACTTCCTCAGTCTAGTATAAAGAATAATAAGTATATTCTAATAAAGAGTAAGACACAGTTACATGTAAACATCAGTACATATTCAATCAGGCAAACCCGATAATTTAACATCTATGATTCAGCTCTTCATTTTCAGTTAGCAGCAGAGAGCAATCTGATTTTAGGTTAAAAAGCTAAAACTATGGATATCACTCAGGTAAAAGTCAATTCAACAAAAGCATATCCAATATCACAATTTATTCATGTGCAATCAATATACTAAAACTGAGAGCGACAATTTCTATACCTGGATAATAGGGAACTGTAAAACCCAGCGCTTCTTATACACATAGTGGACGGCGTAGAACATTCCAAGCTGCAAACCCCAAAACCCTAACTTTCCAATAACCAGCCGCCTGGTCTTCACTTGATCGAAAGCACCACAGCTCCAGCACAAACTAATCACAGACAAAGAAGCCGATACGGCAGACACCGCCACGAACAGCACGTAGCTAAGGGAAACCCTGGTGCGGAGCCGGAAATCGGAGGAGAGTAGCGGCTGGGAACTAGAAATGGGAACTAATATCAGCTTAACTGAGCCGAGCAGAAGCTCCAAAGGAGAAGCAGCGCGATGAGGGCGAGGAGAGGAGATGATGAAAAGGGAGGTGGAGAAGATAAGAAGAGAGAAGTGGAAAACTATGAAAGCGAAGAGACTGAGGAATGAGGGTTTGAAAGGGCTTGGAGTGAAGAGAGAAAGGAGTAGGGTTTTGGAGAGGAAGAAGACGGAGGTGGATTGAAGTGCTTGCCATATTAGGAACCCTAGGAACCGGTGTTTGACGATGGTGGCGCCGCCGTCTTTGTCATTGAAGAGTGATCGCTCCACTATCGATAGAGACATTTTTCGCCGTCGGAAAGACGGCGGAGAGGAGTGGGTTTTAGGGGTTTATAGGGGTGGTGGATGGTGGAGCCACTGCCTAGTGTTCAGTGGTGGCGAATGATGGATACTTCTTACAGCACTTAGGCGGGAACTTAAGCGACGCCGTCCTTGTCTAAATTAGTTTTGATTCTTCAGCAATATTTTTCTTTTTTACGAAGAAAAATTCAAGACTTATGGTTTCCTACCTTTGGGTAGTGTTTGTCTGGTAGCGTATAATTTGGTAAATAATGAATTAGCGTACTGAAATCGAAAAATTTAGTATTTGTTATTCGATATTTTGGTATTTAGTATGATATTTGATTTAAATTTTAAAAAATATTGGTATTAGATATGTTATTTTGTATTTTAAAATGAAATACTGATACCGTACCGAAATATATATTATACTACACAATACATATTATTAATTATAACATAAATATAAAAATCTAAAATTTTACTATCTTTTATTCTTTAAGTTTATCAATTAACTCTAAGCAAGTGACAAGACATTTCTAATGATCAAAATTTTTTTTTTATGTACAGTTTTCTCTCTCTGTGTTGATATTTGCTAGTTTTTTATAAAACTTTTGTCAACAAATATTTTTATTTTTGTACTTTTGACTTTTGAGTGCTTTAATTTAGAATATTACATTCTATAACTCTATGCACTAGTTAGTATTCAAATGGAATAAACCGAAGTTACCAAATCGAATAAATCGAAACCGAAAGGAAAAAAATTTAATTAGGTATAGTATTGATATTGCATTTTAAGAAACCGAATACCGAAAATACCGAACCGAAATGTCTAAATATCGTATTGACGGACGAACAGCATCTTTGTAGACTGTAGGGGAAAACGATTTTGTATTCTTTATTCTTTTTTCTTTCTTTCGAGTCTTTAGATATGATTGTACGAAAATTATTTTAAATTCTAATGTGTTCATTCTAGAAAACGGTGGAGTTGTTTTCTGGAGAAAAATTTAAATTGACTCTAGTAATCTTCTTTATCCCCCTATTAGTAAATTGATAATTAAAGCGAACGACGAAATTACCAGAATGCACGCATAGTTTTATGCCGATTTTTTATTGCTTTATTTACTAGTAAAAGTTATGTTAGTCATCTTAACCTTATTTTTATCGAAGTTCTTCATATATCGAGGGACCAATTTTTATTTTTTTTTGGCATTAGAACAGCAAAAGATAAATAAAAATTGAAAGGAACACCTAATAACGAGAAAAATTAAGTTATTAGAAAAGAAAACCATCCCTTCACATTCCCTCTCCTAAATCCACTGCCCAGAATCTACCTCCAGTTAAGTGCAATTTCAGCATTATCACCGTCAAACCCCCAATGACTTGTTTTGCATCGTGCTCCCTATGTAATTTATGTAAGACTAATAAGATAGGTCTTTAGAGCCAATTAGAGAGCAATAACACAACAAACATAATGTTCATTGGCCACTATTGCCAACCTTGGATTGCATGACCGTTTAACAAGAACCAGGGCAGAAGAAAAAATCAAAACAATCTACAAGGGAATCCCAGAGTTTTGACGCCTATAACAGGTCACATATGACTTTCACGATAATAATATGTACTGGAAGATGGTCTGCAATTGAGTACGAGGAAACTATCAAAAATCGAGGGAGTTTCGCTTCAACTTGCATCCCAAATGACTTACAAGCAAGAGATAATAAAAAAAAAAACTTCAAGCAAATATGAATAAAAGTGGAGTTTTTAGCCTATTAAAGGCACTACTACAAGAAACAGAATGTGCATAGGCAACCTGTGCCCAACCTTTTTTGCATAACCACTACAAAAAGAACCAAGACCTCCTTAGCTATATTAACATAACAAACAATTTACAGTTTCTAGTAACTTGAACATGGATGCTTACCACAATCTAGTTGTCCCACCCATACCAAAGGGGAAACCTAAAAAGTAACAAATATGACAGTTTGGCTAGGGAGAGCAAATCAAGAAGAATGTACACATGCATTTCTAAAATTTGGTCACTGTACGGAGGTTGTTACGTCAGCCAAGCACATTGTCAACAGGATCTTTGCGCTGCAATGATTTATCAAAAAGACCAGTCACACGAATGTCATAAACAAAATATTTATGATTACAAAGTAAGTATCAATACAGTCTTGTTTCAATAAACACTTGTTCTATATGAAGTAGACAAATCAACTATTCAGGAAGAGTAACAAAACAACTGCCTTATATTACAACCAATGGCAGCTCGGGGAACACTGCTCTTACAAGGTCACCACAGAAAAACCGACTATATTGCAATGAAGAATTTAGACGTCAAAAAAGAATAGAACTGAGAAACCTCTTGTTGTCATAGAACTGAGAAAACCCTAATCATTAGATCATTTGTCTGTCCTCTTCATTTTCATAACGTTTCACAAGGGGCAGAGCTAAAGGAGTTTGACTTGCATATTTCTCCCTCCATCCCATAAAATATGAACTAATTTGACATGTGTGGTAAAGAAAAATATTCATATAACTTACTGTATTGACAGAGAAATGTTTAGCATATTATTTTGAAATGTGAAATTAAGGGGTACGGTTGGTAAGTTATTAGCTGAAGCTAGAAACAGTTTAATACTATTACATTCTATTAGTTTGAATTGTTGGAGCATGAAAGACTTCCCATATAACGAAGAAGCCAGGTTTTTCGAATCTGAAAGGGAGGTAGGTCCATATTGCTGTGATAGAAGAAACATATTGATATTCTAAATATCAAGGTAGTTGGAAGAGTCAGCTTGAAAGAAGATACACATAACACTATTGCTCAAACATAGATAGCAAATAGAATCTGAGTTCTAGAAATTTGTGAAACACTTTAAGGAAAAGTTGCAGATTAATGTTAAAGAAGTTTCGACATATTACACCCTTGAGCAGAGTTGCAGTTTACGGCCTCATATATCTTAACATAGTTTTCAGTATACATGACCAGGGTTCATTCATAGTGTAAGGAGCAGCTGGGCTAGAGGATCTTTTTGGTGATAGTAAAGAGCTTGGGGAATTATCGTGTTGAAGCAAATGACTATATGCTGATGTAGTAGCTTACCTTTCGCTTGCTGATATAAGGCTGTAACTGCACCATACTCTGGGACTGGCTTTCAACCTTAGCAGATTTGTTATTCTCCACCTGAAATTCTTTTCTGGATTCCTTCCTAGTACCTGATTGCCAAACTCTGCCAAAATTGGGGAGCCAATTCACATCGTAATTGTTAGTCACAAGCTCCCCTTTACTCTCCAACTCCATCTCAGCTTTTCTTCTCTCTGCCCAAGCAGCACCAACCCGATTCGGGTTTAATTTCGACTTCTTCTTATTGGGAGGGGGAAGGTCACTCCCTCCAAGATTTGATATAAAATCTAACTGACTTTTCTCAGTCTCATTGAACCATGGGGGAGGTGCTCCAGAATGAACATTGCCAAGGGAATCTTCTTGAAATGTTAAAGATATCTGTGTAATGTTTGGAGGACCTGAAGAAAGAAGATTTCTCATTCTTCAACTATAGAATAGGTGAAGAGACACGAATAACACAGAAAAAGCACCACAATAACCAACCCAGAAACATATTAGACGTCCAACATAATCTCAAGGGTAAGGCAGCTCAGAAACACCACTAAACGTATAATCTCAACTAAAGTGTATGAAATGAAAATTATGCAGAAAGTAGAGAGATCAATACCCAGAGAACTTTTCTTTCCCTTCATCATTCTCCCATCCGGGGTTACCTGACACATCAACCAGAGTGAAATTTACATGATGAGGAAAAACTTCTAAAAAGAAAATTTTTGGACATCCATAGTGGGTAGAACCAGGAAAGAACACTAAGACCAGCAAGAGAGCAGAGACAGAGAAAACAGAAAATACTAGTAGCAAATATTTCTCGTTAAATAGACTTACAGAACCACCATGAAGACATTGGTGAGAAGTTGTTGCGGCACGAAACCTCGAGCAATTTTGGCCATCTGTGCAACAAGAAGTTTACAAGATCACTTACAGTCAGCGAGCAAAACATGAATAGAAACATCACATCACCATATGAAAAGAGAAAACTATGAGGCACTAACTTGTCACGCCATTGGAGGAACAAGCATCTTCACCGAACTTTCCGCCCATGCACGTACCAGGCAAATTAGGGCCATTTGTAACACTACGCATTTCGTTTTCAGATATCTGAAATCTCTCATTCGTATAATTTCGTAAAGGTACAACACTATTTGAAACATCAGCGTTAAGAGCATGAATATTATCTTTGTCAAAACAATTTAGATAGTCAGAGTTCATTTTATTTTGGATATCATTCGAGGGTCCAATTAATGTTGCACGAGATCCTCCATCAAGAGCTCCCTTCTTCAATAGATTGCACTTCTTCTCCCACTGCACATACAAATGCAAAAATGACTTCATGAAGGTTCAAAATGATAGGAAATCAAGCTTCTAAACAAAGTAAAAAGTCTAAGATGATAGACAAATGTGTATATATTCAAGTAGACATGCGAGTACTAAATTCAGCAACTCTGCGAAATCCTAACATTCACTTCTTGCATCTAAATAATCAGAAATCTCATCTAGAAGACGGCATTTCTCAAAAGGAAAATCTATTGTCTATTAATAATGTCAATCACCATAATATAACGAAAAAACACGGGAATCAACCATATCCTAACCTCCGAATCTTGAGGGGGGATATTGTGACAAATAAAACTACAACTGTGCGGAGAAAAGGTTTAACACTGAAGGGAAAAAACCTAGTGCAAGATCAGTAGAAATTCTCATATATCCATTATGCAAGGCATAATAAAACAAAAGAATGTACATTTTTCAGATTAGAAAAGAAATGACTGTGACCTGCTCTAATGAAATTGGTATCTGAAAGAATGACATTTAATTCTCAATAAATTTTATCAGCTCAAATTATATATATTTCTACTAAGAGAAAAAACATTAGCTGACTCCAACTAGCTTCGAATTGAGGTATAGTTGCAAACAGCATATATTTTTGAGATAAGAAGATAAATGTGAAATATATCAATAGTACCTTGGCAAAGTCAGCCTCAGTCATCCTCAAGTTATCAACCTTGTCCATTCCACCACCATATTTCCACAAAAATCCTTTCACTTTCTTCATATGATCCGCACTAGCCAAATGCCTAATTGCATTGTCGCTATATCCAACAACAATAAAATCTAAAAAGGAACATATAACTTAAGTAATTAATAAGGCAGCAGCAAGTAGTCGTTGCGTACCTAGCGAAGAAGCTGTCGAGTTCAAGAATATCACACTCGCAGAAGACACACCAAAGGCGATTGAGCGAGGCATGCTCAGGGCGGAGAGGGATAGGGTTTTTGATGAAGAATCGAATATCGGAAAGCTTCGATTGGAAGCGGGAGAGAGCTGCGGCAAGCGATTTTTTGTGGTTAGGGAGGAAATTATGGCGGCGGCCTTGATTATGATTCAGCTTGCAAACTACGCACAATTCGAACTGTTTATCGTTGCTCATGCTCTTCGTTGCAATGTAATTGAATAGGCAGGCGCCCTGTATAACCTGTTATGAGTTATGACCCAATTCGCCCCCCTCTTCGGTTGCCGATATTTTTTTTTTGGGGGGCCAATTTAGAGTAAAATTTACGTTTCTTTTTTTTATTTTTAAGTGCAACATGGACTAACGAGCAAGGAGGCCGGTGGTTCAATTAATGTCTTGTTTACTCGTAAAACGATATAGTTAAATTTATACGTGATTTTTAGACAAGTTAATTAATTTGATCCTGAAATAATAGAAAAATTAGATAAATATACAATATTTAGCCTTGAGATGGAGACGAAATAGCAGAAATAATAGTTCCGGGAGCAGGGCTTCCGGCCACAACAACAATGAAATCAAAAAGTAATAAGTTAAGATTATATTAAGCTTTGAATAAAGTATAGGGTATGTTTGCCAGAAATTTTGTATCATTTACAATGATATTAGAGCTCACTATTTATAGTCGCACTTAGGGAACAAGGTCTTAAGATCAAGCCCTTCTTTAATGTCAATTATGAGGGTCATTGAAGAATGTGTAACGGCGGACATGAATTCCATATTGTTTGTAATGGGCATTGTACTTAATGATGTAGAATATACCTCATTAAATGCTACCGGGTGGCAGGCATTTACTTCATCTTTATGAGTATCAGTCTCTCTGTTAACATACGAGATAGTTGTCTTCGGTTTCAGCTATCCTCTGTCTCCGGCTCCACGTGTCACTTTCTTATGCGATCATTTAATATAACATATTTTACCCTATACAGATAGTCCCTCTGCTTTCCGGTGGCATAACTTTGTGTCACCGAAAGTTGGTAGAAACATTCTTTTTGGCGGGAAATTTATTGACCCCTCAGAAAAAGTTTCTAATGGTTGATTAGACGCACGTCTCTCCGCATTTAATGCCCCGAACACGCGTCATCCCACGATTCAGCATAACTTTTGTCGACTATCGAGGTAATTATGGCCACGAGTTTAGCCGCCTAAACCTTTACTTATACATATCAACCTCATTCATTCTCACTTCATAATACTTTGAATTTTCTAAGACCTTCTTTTACTCAACTCATACTTCGACTTTAACCTTTCTTTAGCTTCCTTATTTAAGAGAAAATCCATCGCCTTGATAAAAAATGGCCTCTTCTTCAAGAAAACCTAGTTCTTCAAAGAACAAAGGTAAAGCTAATGATGTTTCTACCCCTATGGTGAGTACCATCGTCCCAAAGAACCTCATTAGCACCAAAGACTTCGAAGAGAAGTACCCTTCTGCTCACCCTCGTACGTGGGTTGTTAGCGTATACCCTTCTTCTATCTGTCCTTCTAGTATCCTCGCTGTGAAGGAAGACTGCCATTGTCAAGATTTGGACATCATCGCTCCTGACCTGGCGGAGTGGATAACCTTTCCCCAAGAAAGATTATACATATTTTTACACATATCCATTTACTTTGGGATCGTTTTCTTTGAGCGGAGAACTTGACTCTGTCATTGTGGAGTTCTTCCTCTGCTACCAAGTGTGTTTGGCACAGGTAACCCCTTTCGTGTGGAGGACAATTGCTTGTCTTCGGCACCTGTGCCAGGAGACGGGAGAAGAGTTATCCTTAGCTCGAGTGAAGAACCTCTATTGCCCCCAAAATCTTCCGTAGGGAAATGATTAACTTCAGTAAGCGAGGCCACAATGCACTGCTATCCAGCATGGATGATGATAATGACTGTGGCTGGATAGAACAATTCATTTCAGTCGCCACCAGTGACATCATCCCGGCCTCGACTTCGTCTTTCTCGGGATTATGAACCGCACTCGTAAGTATATCATTTGTTTCTTCTTCTGTTAAAGACCATTCCTCATCATTATTGACTTTTCTTCCTTTAACTCTCTCAGCGACTCGGTGGGTTCCCCTAGGGTTGAGGGCTTGGACCAATAGGTTCAAAAAAATTTGGACGTTACTACGCCTGAAACTCGCACGTGGAAAGAGTTGTACCTGAAATACGGTGGAAGGCCAAAAATCATGGTAAGTTGAACTTATATTGTTTTTACCTTTTCTCATAAAGAAGTTGTTTGATTATTCTCTCCTGTTGAATACAGATCTACCCCAGGGCTCAGTTGTCATCCTCGAGAAGGACATTTTGGCTTATCCTGTTGATGCGGCAAGGCTGCTTGTAACGACCCAACCGATCGTTTTACTTTCTAGAACCTTGTTCCCCTAAATAAGACTCCACATATGTGCTCTTACTGTTTTATGACTTGCGGGGATGGTTAGTTCGGGCTTTGGAAGGGTTCAGGTTGAAATCGGAACACTTGGTTCCTTAGTTTGACTTTAAAAGGCTAAGTTTGACTTTGGTCAACGTTTTGAGTAAACGATCTCGGAGTCGGAATTTGACGGTTCCAATAAGTTCGTATGATGATTTTGGACTTGGGCGTATGTTCGAATCGGGTTTTGGACGAACCGGGAGCGTTTCGACGCTTAATAGTGAAAGTTGAATATTTAAAGGTTTTAAAGTTCTTTAAATTTGGTTTGGAGTAGGTTTTGGTGTTATCAAGGTCTGTTTGAAAATTTGAGCCTGGTAATAGTTCCGTATGATAATTTAAGACTTGCACGTAAAATTTGGTGTCATTCCGAGTAGTTTAAGTATGTTTCGGTGTGCTCGGAGTAAGTTAAAGAATTTGAAGTTCCTAAGTTGATTACATTTGGTTTGAGATGTGATTCTTAGTTTTAGTATTGTTTAAACATTCCGAAGGTTTAATCGAGTTTGTTTTATGATTTCAAACTTGTTGGTACATTCGGATGGGGCCTCGGGAGTCCCCGGATGCCATTCAAACTATGCGCGGATTGAGTTAAGACTTAAAAGGGCTGCTGGTGCACCAGTTCTAATGTGCCCACACCTACGAGATTTGGGCCGCAGGTGCGTGGGTTGGGCCACAGAACCGGCTTTGGAATGTTTTGCCATGGATCGCAGATGCGGTTTTTCGTGCGCACCTGCAAACACGCATGTGCGATAGGGGAGGACGTAGAAGCGGCTCAAGCCGCAGGAGCGACATGCTCGCTGCAGATGCAAAAATCCCATCCGTATAAGCAGACCTCGATGGGCTTGAGGAACTCTGCAGAAGCGGACCTAGCACCGTAGGTGCGGTACCGCAAATGCGGTAGAGGCACCGCAGGTGCGAAAAACGCTGAAGGCAGAACTTCATTTAAGTCGGGGTTGAGCATTTGGGGTTCATTTATTGCACTTCTTGGGGCGATTTTGGAGCTGGTTAGAGAGGGATTTTCACTAGTTATTTGAGGTAAGAAATTTCTATCTAATTGGAGTTAAATACAGAGTTTATAGATACATTTTAACATGTAAATTAGTGAAAATTGTGGGTTTAGAAGAAGAACCTATGTTTTGATAAAAATAGAATTTAACCACGAAATTTGTTATGGATTTGGGTATAAATCATATATTTGAGTTCGTAAGGTTATGGGTAACGATTTTCTTCAAAAATTTCCGGAATCCGGGACCGTGGGTACGTGGTTAAATTTTAAGAATCTTTCAATTTGGGTTGGGTAATTATTTAAATCGTTAAGTCATGAAGTTTGGAACATATATTGATTTATTTATACAATATTTAACTAGTTTCGGATTCCTCGTCACCGAGTGGAGACTTGAGAGCGAATTTAAGACCAGAAAGCGAGCTTTGAGACGAGGTAAGTCTTTTGCCTAACCTTGTAAGAGGGACCTCTTCCCCTTAGGTGTATCTTTGTTACGAATTATATGTGTTGGGAGCTACGTACGCACTAGGTGACGAGTGTCCGTGCGTAGCTATATTCTATGTGATGTGCGGGTAGTCTTGGGCTTACATCATGCCTTTATTTGCACTGTTATGTTGATTACGCACATTAACCGCTTTGAAATGAGCTGAGATTTAAGGATTTAAATATTTAAAGTCTCTAGTGTGGATTTCTTGTGTTTGGAAGGAATTGAAGGATTTTTATAAGAACTCTGATAATTTTATGTTCACTCGCGTCACAAGTATTTCCGCGAGCGAGGTAAACTTTTCTCTACTCTTATGGGAGCGGGTCATTTGCATCGACATATTAATATATGCATCTATGGTTCATGTCGTTCGACCCTCGGCAGTGCACATTATATTTCTGGATCGGGTCGTACAACCTCGGCATAAATTGTGCGTGATAATACTCGGAGCCTAACTTTTACTTTATATTTATCTATGGCTTGAGCGGTTACTATTATTTAAAGGACATGAATTGATTCGAAATTATTGTTAGTGAAGGAAATTGTTATTCACCGCTTGTTACTGTGTGGTATTAATTGCTTACATAATCTATGCGTATTTATGATTTCCGCATTTTATTTATAGCCCATAGTAAGAGTCGATGTCGACCCCTCGGTGTTACTTCTTCAAAGTTAGACTTGATACTTACTGGGTACATGTTGTTTATGTACTCACGCTACACTTCTGCACTAACTGTGCAGGATCTGAGGCAGGTGCATCTGGTGGACATACCGGCGCACACCCATGTTACCCGGAGACCTAGTGGTGAGCTGCATCCTGAGTCGTTCTGCAGCACCTAAAGCATTTCTTTTGTACTTATTTTCTATCTATGTTATTTCAGACAGTAGTTAGAGTTTTGTATATTCTACTAGTGCTCATATACTTGTGACACCAAATCTTGGCACACACTCTAGTAGACCTTACGGTTTTGGGGTATTTATATATTTATACTTGCATTCAATTATTTTCATTTTAATCACTTGACCCTTCATTTCTCAAATTTCTAAACAAATGGGATTTAATTACTTAAAAATTGTTTAAAAGAAGAAATCACGTAGTAACTTCATCGTAGGCTTGCCTAGCGGCGATGTTAAATGTCATTACGGCCTATAGGAGAAATGGGGTCGTGACACTGCTTCAGGAGGAATTTACACAGACATGCATCTCCGGGCCTGCTTCTGGTGCGAGTGCTTCTTCTTGGAGTCCCCGACCGGAGAAAAAGCATCCAAAAGAAGGTGTTCCTCCGCGGCGGGGGGAAAGAATAAGAGGGCAAAGAATGCCGCCCCCGAGTCATCTCCAGAAGTC